TCAGATGAAAGGAGTTTGATCCAGTACAGTAACAGGAGGGATGCCAGGCAGCACAGCGGAATGTGGCACCTGTGTCTGTACTGCAGAGGGAAGTGCAGAAGCAGGTTTATTAATCTTGTTTTATAACTGGAACTGATAATCAAGTATGAAAAGAGCCTAATTAAAATAATGCAGTAAGTCAAAGAAATTGCTTGGCTGGCCATATGCTGTACAGGTGTGTTTTAACTGATTATCACTCTCTTAAGCAATTTATTGGAAAATTGGATATCAGTTAACAGCCTTATGTAGAAATGACATGAGGACTGCATGTCTGGGGCTGGGAACAGTTTGAACTCGTAATCAGATTAAATTACATTAACTTGGACATTGGATGATGACTGCTTACACTTTAGCTATTTGTTTAGAGTTTTTTGCAAGGGGGGACCTATGTCACCTATATTGGCATCTCTGTCTTGCTCCCTGACAATGGTCTTCAGTGCTGATTTTAGTTTTGTCTTTGCTTTATTGCTGAGTAAGTTTTCAATTTTAGTTAATCCCTACCTTCTTGGAAGGCACAACAATGAATAAACCTTATTACTTCCCATGTGAAGACTCCCCAGCACAGGCAACCTTGTCTACCAGCTTCAATACTGTTCTCAGAACAGCACCATTAGATTCAAAATTGAAAAAGGAAAGCATTTAGAGAAATTTCCAGGGGAAACCTGGAAAAAGCATCTCCAGATGCAAACTACTGCAATTTAAAAAAAAATATATATATCCTTTTTAATTTTCAACAGTTTTAAATAGATATATTTAAAATTAATGGTTTCTAGACCACTTAGAAGCATTCACTGTATGCAGAAGAACCCCTCCAGATAAATAAATTTTGACTCTATTAATAAAGTCTGTCTAGTCAGATAACATGAACTGTTCTTAATTCTAAATTCAACTTAAGACAAACCAGAAATGCATCATTTAATAAAATAATTTGTGAAGTAATTATAATGGAAATTTTATATAATGGAACAATTATCCCATTCTCTTTTTTTTTTTTTTTTAATGGCAATAGTTCTGCTTTCTGCTTTCATTCTTGTAATATTGAATGTAGATCTGTGGCATGTTCCCATTCCATCTTTTTCCCCATAAAATTCTCAAACACCATACCTCCCTACCCCACCCACCCCAGTTTATTTAGGCTGGTTTTTTTTCTTCTCTTTGTGTTAAATGACTATAGGCCAATTTAAATTCCAATTAACTGTTTAAGTTCCAGTTTCACTGGTATTTCTCTGGATCATTATACTGTGCATAGCCCAGAGAATTCAGATGAGACGGTTGCTATGTAAAGAACAAGTGTCAGGATAAGAATTCTTGAGTCCTGATCTCTTCTTTCAGTGGTTGATCCAAACAATTTTTTTTTTCCACCAGATGAATCTCATATTACCCTGATTTAAGCTTAATTTACTAGCTGTTACACTTCTTACTCAGTGTGGTGCCATAGTATTATTTATATTTTCATGGAAAGTTCAGTGTTGCTTTCTTTCATTTTCACCTATAATTTCCTCACAATAATTTGGCTTTATTATTCAGTACTGAAAAGCTCAAAGAACAAATAAACACAGAGATGTCTACAAGTGTTTTTAGGAAGAAGGTCTACTTTTATTACACAAAGAATACTGTAGTTTAATTCAGTAATTGCACAACAATTTGAAAATGTTCACCCATGGCTTAATGCAATTGGTATTGCCTTCTGTGCCTTTGTTTCTTTGTTCCAACTTTATAGTTGATGGAAAATCCTAATGAACAGGTGAGAGCTGCTCTGAATTTTTATAGATAAGATCTCGTGGTAATTGTGTTGGAGCTGGGCAGAGGTAAAGTGAAAATTCCTTTGAGACAAATATAGCTAAAAAAAAAAAAAAATCAAGCCAGTGCTTTGAATCATAATTGAGTGCTAAACCTACACATATAGCTCAAGGTGGAGAGCAGCTCAATAACTTCATTGTGTAGCTGAGTGGTTTTTAATGTAAATATATTTTGTTCACAGCTTAATATCCCAATGTCCATGAAGACTATACATAAATCTACATCAGATGAGCTCATTTCCCAAGAGTTTCTCCCACAAGGTGCAGAGTGGGAGCTCTGAGAGGTGCTGGCCTGCTTCCACTCCCCTTTCGCACCTTTCGGGGTAGTCTATTTTAAGTGCATAATATGCTAACTGCAAAGCCAACAGTTCCTCTGGCATTGCCCAAGGAGTTTATAAAATTAATGATACACCTGGTTCCCCCTATTCCTTCTCCTACTCTGCCTTTACAGCTGCTCGGGAGTGGGAATCTTTCTGTGTCCATATGGAAGGATTAAAAACCTATTATCATCCAGCTTGCTTTCCTTATTTCCCCTTTCTTCATTAGGACACAGGTGCCTGTGAGGTTCTCCAGACTGAAAATTCTCCAACCTCTTCCATTTTGTATGTTACTGTAAATAAAAGGCACATGAAGAAACCTGCTGTGACTCATTTCATTCTCTCCAGATCTTTCAAGAGTCGTTTTACTTAAGAGTGAATCTAAATAACCTTTTGTTGTTTGCTTTTTAAGTTAGTTTTGGGTTACTTAACTTTTGAATTAATTCATACATAATCAAGTTATTAAAAAAAAAATAAAAAAATAATTAAAAGGTAGGCTGGGAAGGGTGTCACAATTTGACTGTGTTTAGGTTCTGTTCCTGGGTTACAGGTCCCCACCTGGAAAGCTAATTATGCATTCCTTTTGGTTTTCCATAGATGCCAAAGAAAGCATCTGCATTGGAGGTACCTTCTCAGAAATGAGATTTTTCCGCTTTTAGATATCTCATTGTAAGGGGAGCTCTTCTGTTGTCTAAGATTCTCTAAAGTTTGTGAAAAATAGTAAAAATGAGGATGCTAGACTATCACTGATTACCCTGCATACAGAATATTTATCTAGAAGTTCACATAGAAATCTGCATACTTGTTATGACATGCTGCCTGGCATTGCAGAGTAGGCAGAGGATTTTTGAGGTTATACAGTCTACTGTAACATGTTATCAAATAAATTATCCTCTATATGACCTGAAGAGTTTTTCCTTTGATTTCTATTTTCCATTTTTCTGAAGTTTGCAGGTCACCATCCCCATAGGATTTACATAATTCAGTTGTATAACTCAGCAGTCTCTCATTGGGAAGAATGCTGATGTAATTAGGCAAAGCAGTGTTGCATTTTTCTTGACTAGGGCACAAGAGCAATATCGGAATTTTCTTCTGAGAATATTCTGAGAATACAATTCAGATAAAGTAATGATAGGAATCGTTTTTGAGATGTTCAGGCTGGCTCTACCCAACTTGGGTCTGTCCATATTTCTTGAAGGTCAGTTCTGTGAGTAAACCTCCTCTATGTCTAATCTGGGAAAGACACTGTGATAAAAGATATACCCCTCCAGTTAATTTCTGCTCGATTTTCATGTCCAAGCAGGCAGAGGCAGACTAATCAATAGCCTCTCTTTTTCAGCTGATGTTCACCTCTGTAGAACTTTGTCTGCTATCTTTTCCTTCTACTCTGTAGACAGATTTCTTTCATGGTAAGCTAGCATCTGTTCTACTTGACCAATGTTTCCTTTTAGTGTGCCCAGTCTACCAGATATAAGTAAAATTCAAGCCCCTGTAGTCAGAAACTAGAGTCTGTAAACAGTATATGAGAGACAGAGATACATGTAGTATATAAGATACAGACTTTTTGTTTTCTTAGCTTTTAGTTCTGTCTACTGTGACTCCAGAAAACACAGCTGAATTTCAGAGATAAAAAGAACATTTGTGTAAAAGCTTGCAAAATGACAACCAGAAAATCTCAGAGAGTTGAAAATGAGTTGCTAGTTAATTATGAGAATGCTCCTTTCTAAACTAAAGTGTTTTCGTAGAGGCTGTTTAATAATCTACTAAATGCTCATTGCTTGATCCAGTATCTCATACTGTACATGCTTAGACATTTGCTGTTTCCATGAGTCACACAAATTTGTACCGCTACCCGTCCATTTTCATTTCTGTATCTAATCACCTACACTTTTCCAGTGCTTACAGTCTGGTTCTTTTCCTGTAATCTGACAATACACCCACCATTCGAGCTGCAGACACCAGATCTTTAAATTAACTAAAACTGGGTGGATGGTATCTAGACTAGCAGTCTTCTGTGGCTTACTTTGAGTTTCAGAAGGTGGATCCCAGGGTGACTGTGTAGGACTTTCCACATCCTGCTCTTGATTAAGTAGCTGGAGGGCCACATTTTAGTCTCAGCATGCATACAGCTCCCTGTGAGGACAATGGAACTGCTTGTGTACATAACAAAGTAGGTTGAGACTCTTCCATATAAAATTTAAAAAGCTATCAAGAAATGGTTACAACAAAATAACACATAGCTAGACCTCAAGGTACAAGGGTTTGATCTTACTGAAAATGTGAGACCTTTCCAGAAAGACATTAGAAGTGAAGTCAGTCTTATTTTGTTAAATTAACCTCCCTTGAGTGGCCTCATGTTGGTTGTTTATTGTTGGCAAGGCAAAGTGTCTCTCTGTAGTCAGTGGGATGTGTCTTATGGAACCTAAGCAAATGCATGGGGTGACAGATATCTTCTCTTTCAAAAAATCACTTTGTGTTGCAAAATAAGACCTTTAAAAATTGGTAAACCCAAAACTTTGAAGTGTGAGAAAGAAAAAAATCTCTACAAATGACAAAAAGAGAATTAGTGTTGGAACTATTCAACACAGCTGTTGCAGAAATGGGAGGAGCGTCACTGTGGTCAAAAATTTCCTGTGAGATTTTGTATGAAGCACACCTCATGCACACAGCCCTTTGAAGTATCTGTTCTGCTATTTAAGATGCTGTTATGTAGGTGATGCATAAAAGTGCTCTTGCTAATAGTGTTGCCCTGAAGATAGTTTTCTGCTATGAATCTGTCTTCGCTAACGAGAACATCTGTAATTACAGAAGAGGCACTTGGCTTCATTAGCAGCTCCAGCCTGCAAGGGATCAGCATAGCACTGACATCATTGCTGTCTCTTCTTATTGGCTTTGTTTTGGGAGCCATATACTGGAAGGTAAGAAATATTACATTTAATAGTTTACATAGCGATACTACATTTCGTAGCTATAGGGAGGCAGGAAGAACAGAGCCGTTCTGTATTTGAAAGCGAGACATCTCTTTTGATCTTCACTGAACTATGTGGCATGCAAATGTAAATCTATGTCAAATTCTTGAATTCCAGCACCAAAGTGCAAATCCTGTCTAATCAGTATGATAGCTGTCTAATTGGAAATTAAAAACATTGGATTCTCCTAATTTCCAAGTTCTTCTATTATGTCTTGAGAAGAGGATTCTTTTCCTGTTGCCTCTTGTGCCCCTGCCTACAATACCAAGGCTTTGATAGTAAAATTATACTAGTAGCACATGTATGTTAGAGGACAAGATTTAGCATTTTGCAAGATGACTTTGATATTGAAAATCTGAAGCAAGCTGAAAGATGCAACAATTCTTTAGGGTGTTGTTAAAGAAAGCTTTAGAATATTTATATTTAATGCATTTTCTGCCTAGAAAACACATCCCAAATCCAGACCAGAAAGTGATGAAACTACACAGTGTCATGACTGTCAAGAGGAAAATGAGATAAGGTATAGTGCTTCACTTTATATATATATATACAAATGTAAGTTTATCTTTAAGAGCTACTTCCTGAAGGTTTTTCTCTAGCTCTGAGACAAACACAAAAAATCTCCAAACACAAAGTCTTACTGTAGAGGTAAAATGTGTGCTTAAGATGTGGCCTTTAAAGAGCTTCTAGTTTAGATATAATAATTTATATGGATAAAAAAATAATTTAGAAAAAAATCAGTATAACTCAGTCAATCAAATATACATTAAAAATAACAGTTGAAGACATTCAAAGTTGCTTGGACATGACTTTGACAAAGAAGTCTGTGAAATTCAGAAAAGGACTTAGTGATATTTTAAGTTTGAATAGTTAATGCTAAAGTGGTTTTAGAGTATTATTTAACTTCGTATTTCAGGGTGTTGGGTCAAATTTTAGCTATAAGGGATTAAGGGAAAGATCTGAGGCAGAAGGACAGATCTTTTCCTGAAGGCTTCCCACGCTGTGTGAAATGCCTGGTGCTGCTCACTGTTGAAGGTAGAAATAGGTGAGGTTTTGATCTAGGAGTCTGGTCACAGGAGCTGAAATTTCCAGTGTTTAAACTTTCTAGAGTAATAAATTCTTAAAGCAAATTTCCTTCATGTACAGTACCTGTAATGGAGACCGTGTATTCAGCAAGTATATTAATTGCTACAAATTACTCATCCTGCACCTCATCCTCACAGGTATTAAAACTTGTGAAATGGAACATTCACCTTCCTTTTAGCTTCACAGGAAATATAAAATATTGCTTTATAGGAAGAAAAGAGGAAAGAGGAAACAATTAGTCAAATGCATGAGATGGCCTAACAGGAAATGTAAACAGGTTAAATTCTCCATCAGACGTCTTCTTAAATGCATGGCATGTGGTTTTTTCTCCCTCCTCCCTGAGAAATGTCTAATATTCATCTATAACTAGGAAGACCTAATAGCAAAAATAAATGCTTATACTTTGGATTCCTTTTTATTATAACTAACTGATAAAACCTTCCCTGAAACACTAGCATTGTAGTAATAAAGTACTTTTTTTTTTTTTTCAGTATGTTGCAGCAAAAAGAAAAGGAACAACTACAAGTGTAGCTGTTGCTTTTTCTCCCTCAACACTGTTACTGTTTCGTGTACTGGTAAGTTGTTACAGTTGACAGTCTTACCATAGGTTTAGTAACTTTTGGCTGCTGAAATATAAAATGCTTCAGAGTCCATTTTGGGTAAAAAATAAAATAAAACTTGTTATCAGTAGGCTTCATTTGTACCTAAGATCTTTAGCAGCTAATGTAGTTAATTCTGTAATTAATTAATTAATGTATCATTAATTTAGGCATTTGACTTTTAACCTGAATGTTAAAAAATGAAATATGCCGGAATTCCAAAATGAAGGACAGCTCCTGCTTCTTCTTTTTGTCATGAGAGCTGATACGGAGAAGTCTTCAGGTGTTGTCCTACAGCTGTTTCAAAACAGTGTGACCTAAAAAACACAATCCTTAAACTAGCAGGTGAGTGTAGGAGAACAGGCCAAGTAGAGCTGAGCTTCTCTTAATTGTTGCTTACTCAGCACAGCTTGCCGTCTCTGTAGCCTTATCAGATACATCATTCTTGCTTTAGTATGTAAGAGTGAGCAGCAAAGGTGAGTGAGCTTTCTCGGTTCCAGCTGTTCTCTGCAGAACGGTGCACATCTCTGGCAAGGGGCTTCTTACCGCAGGATTTGTGCTGTACTTAACCCACAGCATCTCTGTCAAGGGTCTGGAAGGTTCGGGCAGTGCTGAATGCTTCACTTTATGTTGTGAGTGGAAAGGGCGGTGTAAGTGTATAACAGGCAATCCAGGTTTTGCAGTTCATCCTGCAGTGGTTGCTCTCAGGTGTGTTCCAGAGTGTTTGTTTTGATCAAGCTATAGCTATAACTGGAGAGATTTCCAGTCTCCTTAACTGCTTTGTTCTGACATCTGCTCACTGAGAAGGGAAATCATCACTGCATTGGACAAGTCACTTGATTTTTCCAAAGATGTAATCTCAGTTTGGTATTGGCTTGTCCAGATGACTTCAAGGGATGTTTACTGCCAGAGAGTGCCAGGTACAAAAATGCCAACCATAACAGTTCTGTAAAACCATGAGAGTTGTTTCATCACCATAGATTACATCAGTGAGCAATGAGCAGGCAAGTGTGTTCTTAGACCAGGAAAGTACATCCTATAACAGTAATTTTTATTTCAGAATAAAGCAATGTCTATGCAAGTGTCATTGAATTTACCTATTTCCAAAATTATAAGAAAAAATGTCTATGTACTATGTCTGTGTAAAGCTCTACTGTTTAGTAATACAGAGATGAAAATTAATGAGCAAAATTGTAATTTCTGTTTTTTCTCTTCAGGCAGGTAACAGTTCCATGTTCGCTTCATAAATGAAGCAGCTTTAAGCACATTCATATTCCTTCTGGAGTGACAGACTGAGTCTGCATCTGTTGTTGCTGCCCATGACTCCATAGACAAGATATAGAAATGAGGACAATTTGTGTTTGTTACTGTGAAAGCAACACTGAATTGAACAACGACAAGAAGAGTGTGCACTTAGCAGGACTGTATCTTATGTGAATATCTACCTTGTGTGGCATTTGGGGATTTTTAATTGCATTAATACTTGCATCTGACTCTGGCAAACAAAGTACATGTCCTGAACAAAAAGCATCTTTCAAATGCCTCCAACTATGTGTGATCATTGAAAGTCATAAATACCTTTGCATCCTTAATTTAAGTTCTGTGTCCTCTACCTTACCTTGGTGTCTTCAGATGGAGTTCTCTGAAGTGACAGAAAATGCAGAAATGGATATGGATAACATACTCTTCAATATTGTATATAAAACTTGAAAACAAAGTCATGCCCTGGACCTGTGTTCTAACTTTGTACTTATAAGGAGCTGTGTTTGTGCCTGGCAAAGGTCGTGTGTACAGCAACATGTGGTCTCTGTTGGGTGCCAAGTGGCTGGTTGCCCACCCCGGAAAGCCTCAAGAATTCAGCAGCGCTGGTGGTCTCTGTTCAGGAGAAGCAAATACTGGATGAAGACAAAGTAAACAGGAGGTGAATGCACCTCATGGAGTTTCAAAGCATTAAGAGTAACTGCTGGTGAAATTTCCAACCATGCCAAGGGAAGGGAAAGTAAAGAGTCTGAGTTGCATTCAAACGTCAGAATAAAGACAAACCCATGAAATGCATTTTAGATGCTGAAGATGTATGCCATTGATACCTTGTCTTTAAGTGTATAGCATAGAAAGTCTGAAAGATCCTGAGAGTGTATTTAGCTTTTACTTACATCAGCTGTAATTATTGTTTGCATGGTTTTTCAGTGATTAGTAAGCTTTAACATCCTGGCATTCTCCACTCTTAAAGTTAATTCTCTGAAAACAAAGGGCTTTGTTTCCCCCTTGTCTTCTGCATCTGTTGCTGTTACGGCATCCATAGAATCTGTGCAGGACTGATGTACAGACATGCATTTTCAAGTAAATCCTAAAAATACCCTGGTAAAAGTTACAAATGTAGCTGTGCCTCTTTTCATCTTGACTCTTTCCAGATAATGGGTATGAATTATTTATCTGTATTAGGGGTTTGTACTTCAGAAAGTAAAGGTAGCTCACTTCAGATTGACAAAGTGCCGTCTGTCATCAAACTGAACAGGTCAGCAAGAGTTTTAGTTTAAGTGACTTTAAAACTTAAATAAACCCCTTTTAATGTTTTACATAAAGTTGGAATTCTCTTTAAAGTATATAGTTACTTAATTTTTTTAAGAATTCTTGTGGAAATTTTAATCATCTGGTGAATTTTCTGAGAACCATGCAAAAAAGTGACATACATACAATGTATACATGCCTGCCTGTGTATGTGTGTGTAAACTTTATTAGTAAAACTATTTGTCTTTCATACTTACCAGAAAGAAAGAACCTCAAAACCTTACTATATTTGATGACAGAGCTTATGTGTGCATGTAGCCACTCTACACTGAATTTTGACCCTATTGAGATCAATGTCAAAACTTCTCATAAATTCACTGATACAAGGATTTGATCATGTGGAATCATTTGATCACTGAGGCTTTTTGCACTTCCTGAGTCTCAGAAAAGGGTCCTCAAGTCCTACTCAGGTGATATAAATTAGCATAGTTCCATAAATGTTAACAGAGCTTTGGGGTTTGCATCATCTGAAGAACTTCCCTTAGACTAGATCGAAAGAAGCTTTGTGTGAAAATTAGGCTTTCATTTTTAGTCAGAAGATGCCGGAGCACTCACCACTTAGTGAGACATAATCAAGGTTGCTCATCACTTCTGAAAAGCAAGTGCATTCTAAATTTTAGCTCTGCAAAAATCAAACAACAGAATTCCTAATCTGCAGCTGTCTCATTCGATATTATGTAGTTCCTTACTCACCAGACCCTCAGTCTTTGTGTTTCTTCAGTTATCCTGAAAGAAATGTCAGCATGACCTAATTGATGGGAAATTTACACCTTATTGCTAATGCAGAGAATAACTACATAGTGATTTTGACAGAGCGGAAAAGTGTACACAGTAAATGGAAGCAATTATCCTTACACATTTAAAAAAAACCCCTTAAATACTTCATGTTGCTATACAATATGTTCTCAAAACAGACTTATGTATTTGAAGTTTTACAGTGTTTTTCTTAAATTCAGTTGAACAAAAATCTTGTATTTATTAATGTTCTTTGTTCATAAGAATGTTAGTTTTCCTAAATGCATTTTTTCCAGAAAATCAATTGCAGAATAATGCTGCACATTGGTGTGCCCCAAATTATACTCGGATATTCAAAATGCACAATGCTTTAGGCTCCTTAGTCTACTGTTCAGTACTATAGAAAATATTAGTTGTAAATTGAAATATACATTAAACCCAGATAAACTGCTGCAAAATGTTCACCTTCTAAGAGTAACATCTTAAAATAGTAGCTAAATCACTTTCAAATAATGTCAGATACTTTAATCTCCTCTGTGGAGCAAGGTAAATTTAAGGCTACACAGGAACAGAGAGAAAATTCATGTATAAACCTTCCAACTTCACATCACAGGCATTGTTTTTTGAATATGCACCAAAGGAGTCCAATGCACGGAGTAGCAGAACTGTTGTTGTTGCTCATGGTTTTCCTGTTCTCTGCACCCCCTTTTGAGAGATCTGAACAAAGCATTGAATGTTTTCGATCATTTTGCAAAGCAGGAGGACAATTCTAGACATTTGTGGATACAGTGGATGTCATGGCACTTGGAAATGTGATCATGAAAGTATCTGACAGTTTCTGTGCCCAATTTGTCTACCCACTGAGGAGGCCCTTACTTTGGACACAGTGAAATTTTGAAATACTACTGACTAGTGCAACATGTTTGAAATCAATGGAAGTAGAATAAGTTACTGTTCAGTGGGACTAGGGATAGCAGAAATACTCCTTTAGTTGCTTCTTTATCCAGTTGTAGCCTATTTGACTTCTGAAGAGTGATCAGTTTTTCAGTCTTCTTTTTGGATAGACAGAGCCCGTGCATTAACACAGTTAGGAGAGGAACACCCTTTCTGTTAAAATGAAATTGGGGGAAAGTGAGTGTTGTAATTTTTTTATACAAAAGTCAATGAAATTTGTTTTTCAGATATATGTGGTTTTGTGATAAACTAACATTTTTAGATTTCCTTTGGAGTAGTTGAACTTAGCATGCAATAAATAGTGGCCTTGTGAGAATAAAAAGCAGATAGTGATATACTGAGTAACTCAATGTGCTACTTTAGATGTGTGTTTACAATAAGAAATTAATGGTACTTATTTCATCACAAGGTCATTTTATAAGTAAGCTTATATAATATACTATGGAGTATGTGTACAACCTGCACATTTTTTAGATTCTGATCTTCACCAGGTCTGTTTTCTCTGTTGCTCTCTCTAATATGCTGAAACTGTTCAGTACACACAAGTATTAAATTGAAAAGCTAACTGTATGTATAAAGTACAGATATTTTAAGTTAGATTTACATTTAAGAATTATCCAATATTCTTCAATTCAGGAATCTGATTCAACTGTCTATTAGATGCAGATCTACAGT